CGGGCCCCGCCAGCCGCCCCGCGCCCGCGGACCCCGGCGCTGCCTCCGCTTCGTGGCCGCTGGGAAAGCGGAGAAGGGGCCCAGGGGGGCGTCACGGGCCGCAGCACAGAGGAGTTTGCAGGCAGCCCACGCTCCAGGCGGATTAAGGCTCCAGGTGCGGGGAAGGCAGATGGAGGCAGAGCTTCGAGCATCGCCAGGCCTTCGAGCGAGGGGCTGTAGGAGCCCCTCTGTCAGGAGACTTTGCTCTTCCTTGCAGAGGAAGCCTGGGACAAACACGTCCTGGGCCACCACAGCTGGCCCAGCTGACGTTCTCTGGTGCATGCTTTGAAGGCAGAAGCACAGAGGTAAAAGCGGTTTCTTGTCTTGAGCCAAGAGAAATGCTTCAGAGTCAGTGCATCTGAACTTTGCTAAAGCAGCAGATGAAAAGAGGCTCCAAAACAGGAGCCTGATGCCACCTGCAGATTGACCGGGTGATGCCCTCCATCTCCCCGGCTCCCTCCCTGCGGCACGGCACAGCTGCATCCCCTCACGCCCCACTCCAGGTCTTAGAGGTGCAAGCCCCTGGTGAGCCAGGATGCGGGATGGGTGCTCGGGCCTTTCTGTGTCAGTGACTTTTTCCTTCCTTGCCTGGTCTCTCGGGGGAACCTCTGTGATCTCCTGCCACTTGCAAAGGAGCCAAGAAAGCTGATTTACAGGGAGGTGACGGCATCCTGCAGTGACACAGCAACTGTCAGGCTAGGCAGAAGCCTCAGCACTCACCCCCACAGCTGATCCTATTCCACACCATTATTAACAGCTTTGGCACAAATCATTGAACAGCTCCATGAAATGTGCTGATCAAATACATCTGCGAGGCCTTTATCAGTGGAGGGTCTGGAGCACTGGAGGAGGCTTTGTGTAGCATCACCCGTTGTTCTGCACCTGAAGGAGTAAGCTGAAAGCATTGCAACTGCCCCAGGGATGAGCAAGAAGCCTCGCACCCCAAATTTTGTCAGCTGTGAGCAGCTAGTGGTGAGGTTCACCTCCTGCATCTGCGTGCTCTGGCACAGACCAGCCACAGGGCAGAGCAAACCTGTGGGCAGGGGTCTTCCCAGTGGGACTGTGCCCCAGGAGAGCCCCTGGGATGCAGAGAGCCCATTTTACTGGATTAAAGATATTTAGTGTTGGAGACAGGGTAGATTATAAGGAGATGAAGAAGCGAGCACTGGGGAGGGGTGAAGGACCACTTAAACATCTTAGGCAGTGGGGAGGGGAAAACCAAGCATAAATAAAGAGACCGAGGTGATACTGGAAGAGGGGAGGTCAGAGCAGAGCTCCTGGAGGCACAAATCTGCAGATTTTTAGGGGTGCAAGGCAAAGCTGATGGGAGAGGCACCCCTCAACCACGGGCAGATGGAGCAGCGGGACCGCCGGCTCCCCCAGGGATGCCCCCAGGCGCCGCCTGACCGCGCCGAGCGGGAGCCCCCTTCTCTCCTGGAGGGCAGACGTGGGCGCTG